ACTTACAGTTAGTGCATTCATCTTAAGATAGTTAGGTGGGACAACCAAATATCACCGTCATAGTACGTACATTTTTCCTCAATAAAGTAGCGATCAGCAAAGTCCGAGATAGTAAGAAAAATAAAAAAAAGTAAATGTGAGTGTTAGTTGACAAAAGGCATTTTTTAAATTATTTTTGGAGGGGGGTGGAAGCTGTGGGATTGTTTAAGAAAGAGGTAGGATTTCAGATGTTTTCGGAAGATGGGCAGGGACTCTGCTGTCCTAGCTTCAGGGGGAAGAGGTGGCAGAAAGGAGTGCTCTGGATGGGGTGTAAGGTTTGAGCATAGCCTGAAGATGGGGAGGGGCAGTTCCTCTTGCTGCTCCGTAGGCAAGTACCATGGTCTTGTAGTGGATGAGAGCTTCGACTGGAAACAAGTGGAGTGTGCGGAGTAGCAGGGTGACATGGGAGAACTTGGAAAGGTTGAACACAAGGCGGGCTGCAGCATTCTGGATAAGTTGCAGGGGTTTTATGGTACAAGCGGAGCACATCAATATAGTAATATTAATAATAATAATAATAGGTTTCATATACAAATGTTTCTCCGAGCAGGATCCTATTGGCGTTTACACAGGCAGCCCAATTCTGATCTTTTGCCACTAATTGGTCATTTGACAAATCAGATCAAATAATTTGCCAATAATTGGGCAAAAGATCAGAATTGGGCTGCCTGTGTAAACACAGCCATAGTGTTATGAGGGCTATAGGGTTAACATGAAGAAGGAAAACATACTGGTATGTGAAAACAATCAGACTATCAGACTAGAAGTCTGAAAATATTAATGGTTTAGGTTTAAATCTTTGCATTGTGAAAGTTAAATTCCAAGCGGTTTTATCCGATCTACGTCAGTTTTATTCCTCCCTATACGTCAGCTATTGGGATGTATACAGCACAGTTTATTATGCCTAATGTGATATGTAAAATGTACAGATTTAATTAGTTCTTATCCCCTTAGCTGAGCGACGACACCGCATACAGCATGCATATTAAAGCTACGCACACACACAATTAAAGGGCTAGAGGATTCCCTCCCTGATCCTCTTAGTGGGGAACAGTAAGCCTGCTTCACACTGAGGCCTAGCTGGGCAGAAGTCCCATAAGGACTGCAGTACAATACTACTGCATCATTTTGCTCATTCAAAATCGTTATTTCATCATTATTGATACTCCTGATAGTCAGTAATTGTGTTCACCAAATAACAGTATCTGTGTGTGTGTTTGTGTGCCTGTCCATCTGTGGCTGTGTGTGTGTGTCTGTCTCTCTCCGTGTGAGTCTGTGTGTGTGCGCCTGTCTGTCCGTATGTGTCCATGCCTGCATGCACCGGTCTGTCCGTGCGTGCCTGTGTGTCTACCTGTCTGTCTGTTTCCCAGACGGCGAAGGCCTTCGTTCCCCAGATGAAGGAGCAGAACCATGGCCACATCCTCACTGTCGCCAGCATCCTGGGTCTCTTCAGTACTGCCTGTGTGGAGGTGAACCAGGGAGTACAGACCACCTGAGAGAATATTGCTGATGTTTATTACTGTCTTATTACTGTTTATTACCGTAGCTTTTACTATGCAACTAAGAAAGGTATTACTACAGTTATTACTGTGTAGTGACATAGGTAAAAGGGTAACCTACGGAAAAGTGTTAACTTACAACAACAAAATAAATCCAAATCATACACAAATACCTATGTATGTTACTGTGAGGATGTTGTAAATGTGTTCTGGGCCCATATACACAAAGCGACTCAGAGCACAAGTCCCTGATATAGGACCAGTTTTGCCTTTTGGATCATAATGAATAAGATAACATGGACAGGTTGGACCTGATCCTAGAACAGCACTCTGAGACGCTATGTAAATATGGGCCCTGAGTGGTCTTTCTCTTTGAGGCAGGATTAATGCGCCAGTGAGTTTGCGGCGGTGGGATTCCACGAGTCCCTGGCCCGCGAGCTGCTGACTGAGGAGTCTGATGGAGTCAAGACCACTCTGGTGTGCCCCTATATTGTAGACACAGGCATGTTCGACAGGTGCAAGATCAGGTGAGAGAGACTATAGCTGGGGAATGGGGGATACTAAAGAGGGACTAAGGGCAACTTTGTTGTAGAGGTCAATCACAGACTGATATCGCAGGTGTAAGCCTACTTCATACAATCATACACAGTGGTTTATAATTTGACACAGAACATAGGCTTACTACAGCGTGTATCAGAATGTCCCTTGTAGTTGTACAGCTAAAAGTCACTTGGCTCTGTCATATCCTCACATGGCCTCTCCTATCATTGCTACGCTGACGATACACAACTAATCTTCTCCTTTCCCCCTTCTGATAACCAGGTGGCGAATCGCATCTCTGCATGTCTGGCAGACATATCAGTATGGATGACGGATCACCACCTCAAGCTTAACCTTGGCAAGATGGAGCTGCTCTTCCTCCCGGGGAAGGACTGCCCGTTCCATGATCTCGCCATCACGGTTGACAACTCCATTGTGTCCTCCTCCCAGAGTGCGAAGAGCCTTGGCGTGACCCTGGACAACACCCTGTCGTTCTCCGCTAACATCAAGGCGGTGACCCGATCCTGCAGGTTCATGCTCTACAACATTCGGAGAGTACGACCCTGCCTTACACAGGAAGCGGCACAGGTCCTAATCCAGGCACTTGTCATCTCCCGTCTGGATTACTGCAACTCGCTGTTGGCTGGGCTCCCTGCCTGTGCCATTAAACCCCTACAACTCATCCAGAATCCCGCAGCCCGTCTGGTGTTCAACCTTCCCAAGTTCTCTCACGTCACCCCGCTCCTCCGCACACTCCACTGGCTTCCAGTTGAAGCTCACATCTGTTACAAGACCATGGTGCTTGCCTATGGAGCTGTGAGGGGATCGGCACCTCTGTACCTTCAGGCTCTGATCAGTCCCTACATCCAAACGAGGGCATTGCGTTCATCCACCTCTGGCCTGCTGGCTCCCCTTCCTCTGCGGAAGCATAGTTCCCGCTCAGCCCAGTCAAAACTGTTCGCTGCTCTGGCACCCCAATGGTGGAACAAGCTCCCTCACGACGCCAGGACAGCGGAGTCACTCACCACCTTCCGGAGACATTTGAAACCCCACCTCTTTAAGGAATACCTGGGATAGGATAAAGTAATCCTTCTACCCCCCCCCCCCCTAAAAAAAAAAAAAAAAAAAAAAGAAAAAAAAAAGATATTGTAAAGTGGTTATCCCACTGGCTATAGGGTGAATGCACCTATTTGTAAGTCGCTCTGGATAAGAGCGTCTGCTAAATGACATAAATGTAATGTAAATGTAAAAACAGTGTGATGTTGTGAAACTCTACGCTCTGCTGCCCCCCTCAGGAATGAGGTAGAACTGTCCCTGGCACCACTGGAGCCTGAGTACTGTTTGGAGCAGGCCATGAACGCCATCCTAATAACCAGCCCCGGTCTGCATGCCACGCCTCACCTACGTGCCCGTCATCTCCCGAGCACGAGTACACACATTGACTGAAAAAAACTTGAATGATCACCCACTCACTCGTCTTCGTTACTTCCTTGGAGCAGTGCGGAGCACCTCGACATTGGTCTCTCCACGCCGTCCTGTTCTGGGCCAGGTCCCAGGATGATGTGGTGTTGAGTCCCAGGTTGTGTAGGTGGTCCTTCAGTTGGTTGGACCATTTGTCACCAGCCGCATATGACCTATACAGGGTCAATACAGACACACAGGCATTCATCAGAACACATAAACATGAGCCCTGATGGCTGGTGAAACCTCAGAACTATAATATATTTATTATGGGTGAAACAAGATAGGCATACTATATCAAACATAGTGTTTGTACACTACACCCTGACACGATACAGCCAGGTTTAAACTTTGACCTGTTTAACTGCACCCTTCTTCCTCTTCCTGCAGGCTGTTGCCGTGAGAGTCCACCATGGTGACCTATCGGTTCATGGGGTCAGACAAGTGCATGTACCTCTTCATCGAGAGCAAGTGGAACAAGCTGACCAATGGAGAACATACCCTGATCGCAGCTAACTAACTCTCCCTGTAGACTCAGTCTCTACAGATAAAATCTAAGGGTGGGTTTCCTAGACTCATATTAAGCCTAGTCTTGGACTAAAATGATACATTGAGCATGCTTTTTATTCCAGTAGGAGGCTTAGTCTATGTCAGGGAAACCAGCCCTGAGTGGATAAACAAATAGTTTATGGGATAAAAACTATATGATGGGGAAATAAAATGACCATGGTCTTTTTCACACTATTCTCCCAATCCCAACTGTACTACTCTTACGGCTTAATGCCTTCCAGTGTAGTCCAGTCAAAGGTCAGCCTGCCTTTGTTACACTTATTTCCAGGCTGGTTTGAGCAGGCCATGGCCAACCAACGATGCCCCTCGACTGGTTTAAAGGCAGGCTGGCACCCTAGCTCCTGTTCAGTTCGCTTTAAGCAACCCAAGTTGTGCTGGAACCGTGCTGGAGAGGACAATGTAAACAAAACAAAAAACCTGAGACAGCACAGTAAGGTTCGGGTTGGCAAGATAGTGTGAAAAGGTTATGTGTGACACTGAGCACCAGAAGTGGTCCTCTGATTGCATGTGATGGAATACCAGTAATGGTCATTGGCCAGCAATGAAGTCTTGCAGGACAGGGTGGTTGTACCATGTGTTTCTGACAGGTCAATAATGTGTCAGCCATTTGTTTGGCTTATTACACTAAACTGTTTATATGGAGTAAAAACATCCACTGTTGTCAAAGTAAACCCACTGTGTGACTGGTTGGTTGTTCTCCCATTGATATCACATCTGTATAGGGCTAGACTCGCTTTGCCAGAAACACACGTCTGTTGAGAGACTAGTTTAGACTTACAGTACATATCCAGTCCAGAAAGTACCCCCCAAAATGTACCCTTCTCTATCGTCTACCATTTTCTCTTGGAACATGAGGGCACATAAGATGAACAAAAAAACAACAACTGATGGTTTAGTTTTGTGCGTGATAGCATACAAGTTTTACTTACATTTCATGGGGAGCAGAGAGGAGGTGGTTTGACACTGAGGGAGGGACGATAGGGGGAGAGAGTGGGGATATCGTGCTGGGACTGTATGCAACACAGACTTATACTGCCCCGACACCTCTGACAGTTGGGACAGACAAAATCACAGGACATCACACACGCTACACACACGCTACACTTAGTCACAAAACCTTCGTAGCCCTACATGGTAATGTAGATAAACACTGTTCACTTGTGGTGGTTGTTGTTATAAAGCACTCCAGGAAAATCAACAGTGGTTCGCTAGCTGCATCCTATCCTTCTATGGGGTCTCATACTTCACAAGTAAATGCTATTGTAACAACCAGACCTGGGTTCAAAAGCTATTTTAAATCATTTCAAATACTTCAGCTAGGCTTGATTGAGCTTGCCTGGAACAATGGAATAGAGGCAAAACTGCAAACCCCGCCCATCTGGCACTCCTAAAGCTAAAAGTATTTGAAAGATTTCAGTTTTTTAACCCAGGTCTGCTAACAACCCCCCAATAATTCCAGGGTCAAAGAAGAAGAATAAAACAACGTTTAAAAATAAGAGAAAGGTCTCATTTACAGAAAAAAAGGGAAAAGAGACAAAATGCTTCTCCTCAAAAGCTGATTTTCACAGTTATCATATTAAACATTATTCCATCTTATCTCAACAGAGCAGAATTCCATTATATCGGATATGATGCAGCAATTTTTTCTATCAAGCAACAAAAAAAGAATGAATAATCTGTACAATTAAACAACATCAAGGAGGAGGAAATAAATGTAATTTTTCTTCTATCAATCTTGTTTAACTGAACATTTTGGAACATTTAATATAATATAAACACTAATGATGGCTGCCCTCAGCTTCCTGTAGAATTCTAAAACAGCCTATCAGAACACAGTGTTAGTTTTCTTTTAGTGCTTCTTTCAAACAACCAATGGTGTGCGTCTGTCTACACAGTGCCATCCAGAGTCTGTTGTCCCAAGGTGCTCGAGTTAGCCTGTTTGATGAGGAGAGAGTCACTGCCCTCCATGTCCTGTTTGCCACACCTACAGAAACCCAACACAAAACAAATGAGCGTTACCAAGTCATACGGACCAAGTTCTCAGGTTGGAGGGAAACTAGGATTTCTGAAAAGCTTTTGAAAAGTTTCTGGAGTTTTGCAACCCTAGAAAATAAGACAAATATATTAAACTGTTATTATTCAATCTCAATAATAGTGTTATCTTATTGGTCCTCATCTGACCTATCAGAGAGTGGTGCGTTCCCTGTCCTGTCATTGGTCTGCTGCTGGTGCTGGTCCAGCTCTGACAGAATCTTCAGGATATTCAAGGCAGCCTGTAGACAGAGGGAGGATGTGGAATATTTTATGTAGCCTATATCATAATTTCCCTATTGCTTGTGCCTGTATATGTCTGATTTAGAGCATCAGGGTCGTGTTCAGAGGGCACAGGTGAAACAGGGAGGTACTTTCTGAACATGTCCAATATGCTTTTTTCCATAGCATTTTTTTTTTTTAGCTACAGTGTGCCCTAATGAACAAGATCCTGGTCTAAACACTAGAGCTGCTTCAGTGTGGTTGTGTGCGAGTCTCACCATGTCGTGACAGGACTCCACGTCCTTGCCAATGCCATGGCTGATGAGGGGGGGCTGGGAGGAGCAGTTGATCAGCGATACAAATTCATTCTTGTTGTTTTTGGGGAAGTCTTTGTATTCCACCTGCAAGAAAAGCAACAGAGGATAGTAATACTAACTTTAACACTACAGAATACATTAATACAGTTGTATTCAAAGTCGGGGTCAAGACCCCCCCCCCAAAAAAAAAATTATGTGTACATATTGTATGGGACAATATACTAACGTTTTTGAGAAAGATCATTTTAAGGTTATTTGTTGATGAAAAAAATCAGAATTTAGCGATTTTAAGGTTGTGTCACTAGAATTGGGGTGGGGTGGAGTGGAGTAGCGAGAAATTAGTGGGAGAAAAAATTATTTCCGCAGAATATCTGGCGGGAAGAAAATGTGGTCCCCGCTGAAAAGGTTTGAATACCACTGCATTTATAAAAAGTTTCATTGTGTGTGTGTGTGTGTGTGTGTTTGTCCATGTGCGCACACATGCATGTGCACCTGTGTCTATGACTACCTGTAGTCCCTGTACGTTGGCCAGGTAGCGCAGCAGTTCGGAGGGTCTGGTCAGGAAGCCATGGGGTAGGCGTTTGTGTGTGTTAACGTACGTGTGTGGGTGTGTGTGTGTGTACCTGCAGTCCCTGTACGTTGGCCAGGTAGCTGAGCAGTTCGGAGGGTCTGGTCAGGGGTCCATGGGGTACTAGATGACCCACACTGTTCTGGCTCTTCAGAATGGTCTCGGCGGTCAGGGAGGTACCAGCGTACAGCAGCTCATTTGCGATGATGGCCGTCAGAGTGGCCTTAATATAATAATAACAATACTGTTTATTTGCATAGTGCTTATCTTGATAATCAAAGACACTTCTTCATCAAAAGATTCAAGAAGTAAAAGAGAACATCACAGGACTAAAATAAACATACAAACTGTGAGGTAAAAGACAGCCGAGCTAAATTAATACCATCAAGGCTAATGTCAAAAACTAAAACACAGGCACACACCTTGGCGTGGTTGGCCCGGGGACCGTAGTCCTTGTTCTGGTGCCCCTGGCTAGGGCTGGCCCCTACAGCCTGGGCCACCTCGGGCACCATGAGCAGGATGCCTGCTGGGAGCTGCTGGTGGCTGAGGAAGGGCAGGCGGTAGTCCTCCTCCTTGGAACCTGAGAGATGGGGGTGGCCAGAGACATAATCATGTAAAACACAGGGAAGGAAGGAGAACATGGAATGGAACACCCATGTAATGTAAAAGTATCCCATGTTCCAAAATACTAAATCTGTCAGCCTGCACAACACTCTGGAGGAAGTTTGTGGATTACCTATGCTCCACAAAGAGCCAAAAGGGTTTAAGTCAAGTAAGTAAAATCTCTCATACCAAATCCAAACGCAAAGTGTACTGCATAAATCTGAGTACATATCAAAGTATGTGTAGTTTCAACCCTGCGCCTGAACCACTCACCCAGCGACCGGCTCTCCTCCACAGAGCCCGGCTCAAAGAAGGTCACTTTCCTCCCGTCTCCATTTTTCTTCAGTGGAACCTTGGGTCACATGATCAACAGAAAGAATACACGTCAGTTGGCGGCTCAATGATCATTCAAGTCAATACAAACTATCTCTGCTGTGTACTACTGGCTAGATAAGCACATGAGTGGGGTCTAACTAAACCAGTGGTCTGGATTGGATGCCTCTGGTGGCTTTTGGGGACCTACTGTACCTTTTCGTCCGTTTTGAGCGCAGGTTTGTGGAGCTGAGGCACTTTGAAACCTAGAAGCTCCAGCATCTTCTCTGCTGCGTTCTTCTTCGCTACCTTCTTACTGGGGCCCAAGCCCTCCGCACACTGATCACACACCGTCACCTGGTGACCACAACCACAGGTCAGAATGAGAGAAAAATTGGTCCCCAATCCCAAATCAACCATAGACACTAGGGAGATCTGAGAGGACTAGCCTAGATAGGCATACACACTATGGTGCTAGCACCACATTGCCTTCTGATAGGCTAGGTGTCGTGTTTGCCATATTGCTCACACCTGTCCAATCCCCTCAGACCTCCACAAGTGCCCTAGGCCGAGAGTACGGGGTTGATTTGGTCAAGAGCAGGTAGTGGTAGGCTATGTGCCAGGCCCAGGGACTCCTGTCTCACCTGCATAACAAACTCCCTGCGTCTGGGCAACCCCCTCTCTGTTAACATGCTGTACTCTGGTTCCTTCTCTTTCTTAGCCTGCTGGATCTGAGCCAGTCTGCTGATGGGGTTCATGCCCTGCCCATATTCTGGACTGGTCTGCAGCTGGAAGGGGCGGGAGGGGGGGAGAGATGGGGAGAGAGTGGGCATTACACACAAGAACAGGTAGCTTAGTAGGTAAGAGCGTTGTGCCAGTAAGCGAAAGGTCGCTGGTTCTAATCCCCGAGCCGACTAGGTGAAAAATCTGTCGATGTGCCCTTAAGCAAGGCACTTAAACCTAATTGCTCCTGTAAATCACTCTGGATAACAACGTCTGCTAAATGACTAATTTTTTTTTTTTTTATAAAACAAACATTCCTATAAAACAATTTTCCAACCCTCCAAAAGCTTTCCCCATCACCCCTCCTCTCCCTTCTGTTGCCCTTTAAAAATGAACAATGGCCATCTTAGAAGCCTTTGTTTTTTTTACGATGTATAGTACTTTTATTCACTGGTAGCTAGGAAGCTAATTTCCAGTCTTCGATAATTACGATGCTCTACTGCTCTCTACTCTACTCTCCCTGACATCATCCCCCTGGTCCTCTCACCTTAATGATGGACTTGGTCTTCTTCTTGATGCGTGCCGGCTGCATCTTCTCCAAACTTGGGGTCAGCTGGGGCAGTCTCCTCAGTTCCTCCAGCACCACTGTAGCTGCAAGCTTCTTAGCGATCTTCTTACTCTTGCCCTCACCCTCACCACAGAACTCCCCCACCACCACACGCACCATGAAGCTCTTCATGTGGGGAGGACCTGCCTCCTTCAGAACCTGTGGGGCAGAGGAGGGAAGAGGTTAGGGAAAGAAAATTAGAAAAAGTATTGGAAAGGTATATCCTCAGGGGAGAGAACATAATTAGTTCCACTGTATAACTGGACTGTTAGTTGAGCAAATGCAGGTCTAAAGCCTACCTCAAAGCTGACAGGCATGTTCCTCTTCAATGCGATCTCAAACACCTGACTGATTTCTGATTTGTTGAGGTTCTCTTCTATGTCTTCTCCATTCATCTGAAATTAAATAGTTTGTATCAAAACATTCTATCTGACAGCTGTGTATGTTGCAGCAGAGTGGCTATATGATGCAGCGGAATTGCTCTGTGTGGCAGTATTGAGTAAAATATGTGCCCTTCCTTCATGTTGTGAAGCAGACCTGTGTAGTGATCCATATAGCAGGTGTTGCCCTGTGGGCAAAATACCAGAAATGTTCCCAAACTTTCACCCAACTTTTTCCAGGAATTCCAGTTGGAGTATTCCCAGAAACAGAAAGGAATAAGCAGAGACTGTTCCAACCCTAGTGTTTCCTCCCCAGTTCTGACCTCAGGCAGCTGCTGCAGCAGTATGGGCTCCTTCTGCAGAGTCTTCAGGGCCTTGGAGGCGGCATCGTGTTTGGCGAGCTGCCGCGTACGCCCCTTTCCGTGGAACTGCTGGCCCCCGATGTTCAGCTCCATGTGGTACAGCACCGGCCCCACCGGGGAAAATGGGTAATAGTACCTGACCACACACCAAGAAGACAGGAGATGCTCAGGTATAGCTTTTACTGACTGACTGACTTACCTAATCATGCTGATATAAATGCCAGCCTCCTCGCCTTACACTGGACTCCAATAAACACCTGGGCTATTAATTGAAGATTTACAATGAATCCCCCCCCCCCCCCCCAGAAAAACGAGTGGACATACTGTTGCATGGAGCGTTGGTAAGGCCCCGGGGCCCTGATGTTGTAGTTGAAGCTGGGTGGTCTCATCCCGGGGTAAGGGTCTATGGGCTTGTACATGGGCTTCATCCCTAACTTCATACAGAGGGAATTCAGCTCCACCGTTTGCATCATGCAGTCTACTGTGGTAGGACACACAGAAGAAACAGAAAACACAAACATAAAACATTACAGAACAATAGGGACCAAAACTTTAATACACCTAGTGATCAAACTCAAACCCTATATAATGTAGACTACTTAACGCCACTGACTATCAATGTTTCCCCGATCATGATACTCAGCAACTCAAAGTGATGACCTGAGAGCCTCTATAAGAAATACACACATTTATATACACTGCCCACACAGGGCCCGGTGTGCTGGGTTCTTGCCTGTGTTGTTGCGGGGGTTGTTCCTCATGCTAGGTTTGGGCAGTGTGGTCTGGGCCAAGGCTGTGGAAGCTGCAGAGTGCTGGGCCTTCTTTATACTGGTCCCCTCTGCCTCCCAGTGCTGATCCCCCAGCGATAACCGCACTGAGAAGATCTGGGGGAGGAAGGAAACAGAGAGACAGAAGAGAGAAGTAGATAGGGATAAATCTCTGTTATAAGTCTTAAAGAGCAGGAAGGTAGACATAAAAAGCACAGTGATGACTGATCTTTCTAGGGTTATGTTCAGTAGGCACAAAAGGCCAGAAATGGTGAGGCACTATCTGAACTTGTCCAACAAAAAACATTTGTTTTTGTTTTCAGTTGCAAAACCTTTTGCTACAGTGAGTGTATCCTAATAAATATGACCTAGGTTTGCTAGTGAGTGCCAGTGGTTGGGTTGTTGAGTTACCTTGGAGTGAGCTGGTCCTTGCTCACAGAGCAGCTTATACTCCGGCTGGATCTTATTGAAACGGGCTAACTCATTCACCAGACACATAGGGGTCTTCTCTTTAGGGTTTGCCATGTTAGATACTAAAAACAAACAAACAAAAACAGATATGTCCATTGAGAGACACACACCGACAGACAGCTTTGACACACACACACACACACACACACACACACACAGACCTGTGGAGGTGGGACTGAAGGGAGTGGCTGAGCCCAAGGGCAGGGCTGAGCTCCGGAGAGGATGACTGGCACTCTCAGAGGGCAGGGGGCTCGAGGCACAGGGGATGCTGTACCCTGGCTGGGGCTGAGACAGCTGCTGCATGGGGCTGGCAGCAGCGCTGGACATAGGGTTACCTGGACACTGGAACTGGGACATACTGGCTGGTTGGGTTTGGGTGAGTCAGGCAGTAGGCTCAGGTTGAGGTGGGTGCTTTTCAGTGCAGCAGCGATAGACGTTTAGGGTCTATTTGATTTTGAGGTGAATGACTGCAAAGCTCTCCCTGAAAAGAGGATAACAAAGAGAATGGTTTAGAGTGTTTGTTTTGGGGTAGCTTGTTACCTGCATTTTGAGGTTATGAGATGATGCGACATTTGCATGACTACAGCAAAGCCCACTGTCAGTGCCATGCACAACTGGCTTTCAGGGGCCTTTGTTGATTCCGGCCAACAGTGACAACAAGACAGAGCAATTAAGAAGTTGCAACACCCATGCATGAAATGGTCATATGGGTGCTGTGATTTTGCATCAGACATAAAACATGAATGAATGGATTGCAATACATCAATACAAATAACCTTCGAACGACAGCTCTTTACTATGTTTCCCTGCAATATGGCTAACTTAATCAGTATAACTTAATACCCAACTTGGTAAGAGGACAAGTTTAGAAGAGTGTGTCGTTTGAAGGTTCTTTGTAAGGCGTGTTCTGCTAGCTACTACTTAGCTAGCCAGTTAGCTTGCTAACTAGCTCTGTCTGGCAAGCTGGCTAACTTCGTTTCATATCATATTACTATACCTACTAGTAGCTAGCTGGTGTATTTTTTGCAAAAACGTTAAGTGTCATTGATTAATTCTGGTTGTCTATACAAGTTATTGAGGTTGTGCCATTTGTTTGCACGCATGTCAAGTACCGGTAGATAGCTAGCCTAATATTAAGCTAGATAGCCAAGCTGGCTAGCTAGCTAAGTTTATCTAATTATCGAGGCGACGTCAATACATTTCACACTCATGGCGTTTGTATTTGAATTTTAAATGTGCTTTGAAAACATAACTAGCTACAGTATAGTTATATTTTGCAATACAACGTTTGCATCCGGCATAGCTACATATGAAGCACTGACCTTATAAATGAACGATCCGAAGCCGCAAGCATAGCTATCTAACGTTAGCTAACTCCTGCAGCAACTGATGGATGTCCGGCTAACATTTAGCTAGCTAAGCTAGCTTGGCTAGTCAGAAGAGTCGTCTAATAAACCTCACCTCGTTATCTTTCTGTGCAGTTCTGTTACTCCATTTGGATACGTTGTATCGGTTTGTTTTTGTTCCAATTGTGTAGGATTTCCGTGTGATTTTGGATCAAAATGTTTCTAGTGAAGAGGTGGGGGAAAGGCAGACAAGGCAAACACTAAAGAGAATGGCCCAATCTTAGCTGTCTCTTCCGGGAAATGACATCGTTCAGCTAGTAGGAAGTCTGCCTGCAAAGTGGACTACTATGTAGCTAATGAATGGACATAGATATTTCAAAGTATTGACATTTCAGACATTTAGTGAGTTCACGTCTGTTAGCAACAGACAAGCACATCCATAGCTTCAATAAAGGCTCTGAAACCTTTTGTGAAGACTCCATATAAAAGTGGCCACACCTAGGCCTGTATATTATATGTGGGATATCTCCCATTATAAACCTTGTGGTGCATGGGTTAATCAAAACAGACAAATCAAATGAAACCTTAAATGTCCTCAGCAAATTTATTTTTGTCAGTGACTGACCATAAGCTGCTAAGAACATGAACTTACATTGAGAAATCTTCACAACCATGATACAAAATAAAATCACACAAACCTAAGCTTATTCTGCTCTAAAAAATATAAAATCCATGATTGATTCACTATAAAATATTGCTTCTCTAGGACCTAGTTATTCTTCCTGTGTCCATTCCAGGATGAGGACAGTGAGTGAGAGGTCGTGTTCCAGGTTGACTACATTGCAGACGTTTGCATTGAATCAACCAATGGTTTCGTGCCATATCATATGATGTGGTTAGCTAATATGTTAAACACCTGTCCAGGTATTTTGGAGATCTGGCAGTTGTCTGCAATGTAGTCAGCCAGGAACACGGACAGTGGTTAGAGGTTTTTATAGGTTGTACGCCTGACGTATGTTCAGTGAGTCTCGAAGCATCAGGTCCCTCAGGCGCCACAGTGCGTCTGCCATTGTCGTGTGGGCTCCCTTGCTCTTCAACCAATGGGAAGGGAGCCTGCTCTCCTGCTCTTTGGACAGGTGGACATCTCTCCTACGTGCTGTGGAAATATAACACTTTACCCATCTCGCTCACAAGTCATAACACACCCACAAACAGAACAGTCCGACAATTTCAAGAGAAAGTTAGAACACAAAACACATGGGAGTACAGTGAGAAGGAAATTGTTGTAGTTAATTCAGTATGCTGCAGGACAGGTGCATGGAAAGAGAAGGCAAATGCAGTACAGAAGAACAGCAAATTAGTGAGTAGAAATATACCTTTGAGAGATTGGTCCCACTTGCTGACAGTGTTGTTCTCTGCGTTCAGGCCTTCAATGTACTTGAGGTAGGCCTCAGAGTGGAGTACCCTCTGGGTCTTGGGCGGTGGAGCCACGAACATGGGGGTCATGGGCTGGAGGTGGGAGGGCTGCCCTAGCTGGCCCATGCCTGGGTAGGGTGGAGGGGCCTGCATCCCAGGCTGAGGGAGATACAGGAAAACAATAACTTTTCCACTGCATTTAGGTTCAATAACATATATGGAACTGATGGAAATTCCAAACAGGGGAATTATACATAACATGCAAATTGTTCCAGATGATAGAAAACAGTATCAGAGTGCAGTAGCTCATTGGTAGTCATAAGTTCGACTTTTACCTGTTGCATGTAGTGGTGGCCTCCGGGACTTCCTTGCATGCCATTCATACCAGGACCCATCATACCTATCACAAAAACGAGTTCCCACACACAATCGTGACAAGACGGCAAGCACTGTTGCACGAGGGTAATAGTTGCTGCACGATACATTCATAGTATAGGCTATATAACATGGTGGATGTGCATAGAATGCATGCTGTAGAATAAATGTGTGATCTTTACAGAAACTGGTGAGATAGAGGGTTAGTTGTAGTCATATCTCCACATGCATTACATGTTTGTTCATGTGTTAATTGAGGTGAACATGGATTCCGATGTTTGAGAGAAATTAGATATGCGAGTAGATAGAACAGAGTAAGTGTGTAGAGGAGACGTAAAGGACGGTGGAACCCCTGTAGTGCTTGACGGACTGACCGAAAGGTAGTCGCACACTATATAGCTACGATGCAGAGCATCTTCTTTTCAAACTGTCTGTCCACCAGGCAGTCAAGCACTACAGGGGTTCCACTGTATTTTACCTCTATACACTACCTTCTTTACTTTCAATGTGTTTTGTTCTGCCGCCTGCACCTCGCCAACTCAGGTGTGCACTTTTCCATCTTCCAACAGATAGACATATAGACCATGTTTGGCAGCCTGAGTGGTCAGTGGGTCACCACAGCACAGCCTGTGGACCAGGTAAACCCCTCCAGCAGGAGAGACAGACACGACTGACTGCGAGCTACTGACTGACCAGGACAGGTGTGGCCTTGGCCTAGAGTGGACGGTGGGTGGTTGGGGGTCCTTACCCGGGTGGGGCATGCCAGGGTGGTACCCAGGCATACCTGGCTGGAAGTGTTGGGGGGGCAACGAGCCCATTTGGTGAGGTGGCATTGGGCCCATACCCAGCAAGCCCTCATAGGGGCCCTGCATGGGCATACCGTAGGGGGTGCCGTAAGCTCCCATCATGCCTTAGGAGGAGGAGGCAGGGCCAGGGGAACGGACAACAACATATCTATGCATAAGTGACATGCAACTGACATGCACTACATATTAATTAATGATTAAAAAAAGTTCAACCAGTTAGTAAGCAAATTAAGCATGGTGTTACTGTATATATCAACATGATGATGGAATGAAAGAAAAGGTTAAATAAAACAAACTCTTCTTGGTCATGCAGTTGATTTGGATCATGCAAACTGATTCAATGCATTTGATGCAAAACAAATTAAAAACGGATGGAATACTATAAAACTGTAATTAGCAGCAACATAAACAAAAACAACCACAGCCTATAATGAGGATGCAGTTGAAAGGCACTGGACAATTTTTAAATGGCCAATTTTCAGATAGGAGAAAAGGGTAAATAAATAAAGGTTGAATCGTTTTAGCAGTCCAGTTTCATTATTTCCCGGTAGCTGCTAAGTCCCAAGCGAGCGTGCTGTCTCCCTGAATCCCAAATCAGCCCCTACTTTCTAGGCACGTACAGTACCAGTCAAAAGGTTGGTGCTGCATCAGATGACCTGGCCTTCACAATCACCCGACATCAACCCAATTGAGATGGTTTGGGATGAGTTGGACCGCAGAGTGAAGGAAAAGCAGCCAACAAGTGCTCAGCATATGTGGGAACTCCTTAAAGACTGTTGGAAAAGCATTCCAGGTGAAGCTGGTTGAGAGAATGCCAAGAGTGTGCAAAGCTGTCACCAAGGCAAAGGGTGGCTACTTTGAAGAATCTCAAATATATTTTGATTTGTTTAACACTTTTTTGGTTACTACATGATTCCATGTGTTATTTCATAGTTTTGATGTCTTCACTATTATTCTACAATGTAGAAAATAGTAAAAATAAAGAAAACCCCTGGAATGAGTAGGTGACTTTTGACTGGTACTGTATGTAGATCTGTGTGCTAAGGGGCTTGTGGTTGATTTGGGATTCACTGCCTGTCTCTGCGAGTAAGGGGTTACCTGGACCAGGCGTCATTCCCATCATGGCCCGTACTGGGGTACCTGCTCTAGGGGACGCTTGCTGCTGGGCTGCCCTCTCCCTCTCCTGCTGCTCCACCACCTTGGCTGCCCGCTCTGGAACAAACAGTAACATGCATGCTTGGATTCACTCATAACGCTAACATTGAAGGGTCATTACACTCCAAAATCAAAGTTTGTCAGATGTTTGGCATGGGATATGGACTACTTCGTGACCTGAAAAAATGTATTATGGAGTGTAATAATGTCCCTTTAAATAATGACATTGTCACCGGACTGGTACAATCCGATTCTGATTGCAGATCTCAACCAGTGCATGAATCTACTAGTGTAACTAAAAGGCTCTGTATATACGCCTCAGTACTAGCATGCTTCCCCCTGGCCTTCCTACCTTCATACTCTACTTTCTTGGGAGCCTCCAGGTTCCTCCACTCGGTTCCCACCAGACGGCTGAGCTCCCCGAAGGAGAAGTCAGGGTGGCGGGTCTTGATGACCGAACGCATCTCACTGCTGAACAGGATGTAGCCGCTCATGTTCATCTTCCTCTTGGCTCCGTCCTTCTTAGACACACCCTTCGCCTTGGGCGTGGACTGAAGAGAAACAGGGGGTAGACGGGTCAATCAACAGTAACACCTTCAGTATGTTAATGAATTCAAGCTCAAGTCCATAAAAATTGAGAGGCCCTGGGTAGTGACGTCTGGTAGTGATGTACACTTTGGTTTTGTAGGGGTGTGTGAAGAGCTTTAAGATCTTGGGGGAATGATGGTAATGGGTGTAAAATCTGGGTAGGGCTGTGTGTGATGCATGAGTGGCTGAATGGAGGGTTATGTGGGATTGGGTGTGTGTTTGATTGATTGGAGGTAAGATATTGACTTGTTGGGACAAAGGTGGGTGCATGGAGGTGGAGGGGTAAATCTGTTGAGGTGGGGTGTGTGGAAGGGTACAACATTTGGGCAAAGGGGGTGCGTGGGTGGAAGGTACAACATTTGGGCAAAGGGTATGGGTGCATGGGTGTAAGACCTGAGGAGGGGTGTAAGGCATGATGTCCAAATCGCTTGCCAGAGGGGTCTGCATTATGGGCATGGAGGGAGTCTCTGGAGCCTCGTCCTCATCCTCCAGGTCATCCAGATCCTCATCCCCCTCATCAATGTCTGCCAGCTTCAGCTCCAACTCTTCAATCTTCTTATCCAGCAGAGGAGACGGCTCCTTCTGGGGCACTATCAACTTCCTGGATATGGACCAATCAGAGAAGAGGGTTGATACCAGCTAGACAAGAAAATCATATATGCTATCTAATAAAATCTTTGGCTGCAGTTCGATTCTCTTCCCTTATTCTCCCTGAAGTGAGCAGAGCAGCTTTCTTAGCCTGTGTGTACACCGGTCCAATCCATAAGGGGGAGTGAATTAGTTCAGTGCACACTTAAGGGGGAATGGGGAGAAATGGAATAGGGATTTTACCTGTTCTATGTTAAAGGCACAATCAGCAGTTGAAACTATAACAAAGCGTTCTACCGACCACCGGTTCTATAAAATAAATCAGAGATGCGGCTGGAGAAATGTAATCACTCAAATTTATAGACAGAGCTATGCATGCAAGGACTGACCATCAATGTTATTAAAATGATAGTTCTAACCATGTTATGAGGCTATACAGTGTTTGTTTACATTTACTTCGTTTACAAACATTGGAGTAAAAAAAGCTTATATTTTGGGTTCTGATGCTGTACGACAGTTGAACTAAGCTCATGAGGCATGTATAAATTATATTCTTCAAGAATCAATGGGTACATATCATTAATGTATGTCCAAAATGGATGTAGCAACTGCCGATTGCCCCTTTAAATGTTCAGTATGTGAGTGGCTCCCACCTGAAGTAGTAGACCTCATCATCCACCACCTTAGCGTGGAGGGAGAAGCGCTTCAGGCCTTTAAACTTCTTCATCTGCTTCTCACTCTCAATGTAGCGACTCTCACACAACAACACGTCCTCCTCAGACACCTCAGTGGGCCGACACGACAGGTAGTCCTTAAAGGACGACACCACACATTTACCTGCAGGAGGGAGTGATGGTTAATTACAGGACCATTCCAGGGGGTGCTTTATGTCTGAAACGGTTTTCAGAGACTAGTCGGGCAAATTGTTGATCATGTAAACAGCAATAATGTATGCATTTTGTGTGTAGATTGAGTATTTGCATGTTGAGTGGAGTGCTGAAGCCTAGTAAAAGTGGTACGGTACCGATGACGCAGGTCATGGGACATGTCTCCTCCAGGTTGCTGAGGAACACCTCTCTCTTGTAGAACATCCTGGTGGGCTCGTGTGCCGTCTCCTCTGGGTGGATGAAGATGGGCCCGAAGAAGAACGCTGCTCCGTCACGCACCCACAGCTTCTCTATCCTGTTACAGCCCAATGAAAACAGGACTGTTAGCTTCCTAATGGCCACATTCACAGACCTAAACCACATTTCCATATTGAAAACAGAAAGCTGGCTCTTTCAATTCATATTTCTGGGATTTCTCACATCCCCTCCCCTCGGACCTTGTTCTTCAATACATTTTGAGAAGGAGGCGAGAGGAGAGGATGCAAGGATTCGACTAAAGAGTCTATCACATAATCAATACATTACAAAGAGTTATGAAGATAAATACTAGAAGGTTTGATTGACATACCTGCCGATGCGTGGTTTAACGAGCTCATGTGACTGGACGTAGACACAGTCTCCCACCTTCAGCCACATGTTGTTGTAGTGGAGCTGGTCATAGTACTGACAGCCTTGCTCCCCTCCAGTCATCTCCACTGGCACATCCTCACGCTCCTACACACAGTCACATAGTAGGAGAGCACACACTCAGTAACACTGGTACAGTGTTGGCACCCCAACAAAAATATTCAGCTTTACCCATCTAACAACACCTTTTTTACACCTTTTACACTAAGTGTACTGTGCTGACTCAAATTTCCTTTCACATTGTCATTTCCAGCACAGCAACTATGGTGGAAGCTTAACCAGTACAGTGTGGCTCAGTTTAGCTCAGCTCCGTAATATGGAATGAGTATTTATTACATTCCAATGTTTAGTGCTATTTATTATGAAATTGGAGGTAAGTGCCCACTGAAGAGTTACCTTACAAGTACAGTAATTGTGGTGTTCTTATTTGTGATGGACATGTCCAATAAGCAGGACAACTGCATTTCACTCTGTAAAATAATGCTCAGACTTCTCACCTTGTCGACGATGCTGCGGCTGCCGTTATCAGCCACGGCCAGCAGTTTCTCCTGATCACGTTTGGCGTACATGGAGGCCACCCGGACAACGGGCAACGGCACGTCCCGAGGGACAAACCTCACGGCGGCTGGCACGGCCCACATCTTGATCTTTTTGAAGGCCTTGTTCCTGGCAGAGTAACGGGACTCACAGACATACACGTCCTCTGGTCTGACTCCCTCAGGCTGCAGCTTGAAGTAATCCTGTAGAGAGGAAGCACACAGATAATCACTGTGTTGGAGGGGATACATTTAAAGCAAGGCAATGGCAGAATGGCTAATCTTCATCACATAATGAGAAGTTATTTGGAATACAAGGTGATTTGTAGATCAGTGACTCTGAGCAGTCCGACTGAAATGTAGTATATCTCAAAACACAAACAATATAACTACTACATATGAGAGGGATGTTGCTTCAAATGCTGGTTGAAGAGGTTTGCAGACTAACTTCAACAGAAACTCTACAGGGGCAGTCAGTAATGATGGGCGGGGGGGTACAGATACATATCGGGATATCATATTTGATGATATATCGTATCTTTTTGAAAATATTGCGCTAGTTGGCTGTACCTGCATAAAAACATCAAAATAGGGAGTTTTCAGCACTTATTTCAATGACTGATCAAAACGTGTTTCCATTTGCTCTCCCTTGTCCCTCTAATCAAATCAAATCAAATTTTATTGGCCAAATGCGCCGAATACAACAGGTGCAGACATTACAGTGAAATGCTTACTTACAGCCCTTAACCAACAGTGCATTTATTTATAAAAATAAAACAACAACAAAAAGTGTTGAGAAAAAAAGAGCAGAAGTAAAATAAAATAACAGTAGGGAGGCTATATATACAGGGGGGTGGCGAGCAATATGTTTGGAACATCGAATCACAATAAAATCACAGTATCAAATCGCAATACATATCGTATCGGCACCAAAGTATCGTGATAATGGCGTATCGTGAGGTCCCTGGCAATTCCCAGCCCTAGCAGTCAGTGTATCTTTAATTACAAATTACATTACAATTCGGCTCAAATAACGATTTTATCTAATCCAATAGATGAGCATAACATTTCAATTGAATTACATACATCTATGGTGCAGGTGTGTGTATTATCAGAACCGTTCAGATTGATAGATGGCCTTACCTTGACAAACATGACCATGCATTTGCCCAGTATCTTGCTGACTGGTACTTTATTGAAATAGTCACTCTTGAAGACCTCTTGCTGGAGGAACTTGCGTGTGGCCAGATGGAAGGTCTCACTGGGCCTGTAGAACCAACAGCCATACAGCCACTTCTCACCTACACACATGGAAAAACAGAACAACACATTACTAACAGGAAAGCAGTAGTAGTGTGTGTGTGTGTGTGTGCCTCAAAGTTTGTATGTCTTGAAGTGTGTGTTGAGTTGGTTACCTGCTTCGTCCTCCCACAGGCGCTCGATACAGACGATGTGAGGCTTGCGGTTGGCCTCGGCTGGCTGCACGTAGACAAAGTCTCCCACGTGGTAGGTGCTGTTCTCGAAGCTGCAGTCCTGACTGTACGTCCTCTCTGGCCCTGTGCCTCCCCCAGCTGGGTCCTCAGCCTTCTCTCCCTCCTCTGGAAGCCACATAGAATATTATAATATATCTATCAACCTCACATTATAAACGCTTCAGAGTCAAAGTCACATCAATCACCTGCACTGACACACACCAGCTCAGAAAGAAATACACACCCGGCCACAACGCCATCTCACACAAACCTTTGTTCTCCTCCTCCCTCTTCAGTTTGTCCTCCTCCATCTCCTTGGGTACTTTCTCTCTCTTCTCCTGCTCCACGTCACTGTGCATGTGTTTGGAGGTGTAACTGAGAGCCGGGGAGAGGAGGATCTCTCCGTTCTTACACAGCTCATCTCTGATCTTTATAAAGAACTGCTGCAGCTCCACCGCATCCTCAAAGATCTCAGAATCTGTCCTGTGAAGGGACAGGGCAAGGCATGCAGGGTCAAAGGTTGAGGGTTCACGGGGGAGCTCAGTTAGATTTAACTTGGTTCCTGGTTTAAGTTGTCCATGTTTCAGCTTTCTATCAATACTGCAATCCAGAATCAGATTCATAAACTCAAACACAAAACAAAGAATCAGAAAGGTTGGAGAGCAATTCAAAGCGACAAAAGCCTTTCTAATGATGTGTAGACTACGTACCTGTGCAGGCGCCTGGCCTTCTCCAGCACCTCAAACATGTGCTCCTGGAACACGTCCAGCCTGCGGTAGCGTCCTCGCTCCACGTTGGCCCGGATCACGTCGAAGTTGAGCAGAGGCTTCTCTGGGCTGGCCGGGTCCTGTTGAGGTTAGTCGACTTAGTTTAGTGGTCGTTCAACATCATTAAAAGGTTCCTAAAAACACTTTTTATTAAAAACTCTGAATGACTGCCATTATAATAAACATGTCGAACAAGGTTGAATAAATAAGAATTTCTAAATGCTACACGTCTTTGTTTCAGTCTTAAAAAGAGTCTGACGTGAGGCCATCTGAGTGCCGATTTAGTTTTGCCTGTTCAATTACATGGACAGGGGGGACCTGATCCTAGATAAGCACTCCCACCCTGAGAAACTATGAATACGGCCCCAGGTAGGATATGGACGATCTCCTATCTCTTACCTGGGCAGGGATCTCAGCCAGTGAGTCGCTGTAACACCTCCCCTCCTCGTCTTGGTGCCCAAGCACAGACATAAACAGGTTCCTGATAAGCTCCCTGACTAGGGGCCCTACAGCGGGGGGCGAGCCGCCCTCCTCCACTCCCTCCTGCAGCCTGCGGGTCTCCAGGAGCACGCGGTGGAGAAGCAGAGCGTCGCGGTAGATCAGAGACTCTGGCTCGTTGTAGGTACATGCGTTGTTGAACATCAAGGCAAAGTCTTCCACCAGTGCATCCACGTCCTGATAACGGCCGCCCGCCATGTGGCTGGAGAACAAGAAGATGATTTTATTTATTTTCTATTGAAACAGAGATGTCTTTTTTGCTTTATTGGCTCCCAACCCCCAAAACACACACACAGAGGTTGGAGCACAGGGAGCACTTTAGGGGATAAGTACCTTGCTCAAGGGCACAACACAAGAAGATCATACATATAGGATACTGATACCAGAAACCCTTCAGTTGCTGGCTCACTCTGCACCAGATTTTCCCGTAGGAGATGGGATTCAAACAGGGCTAACATACAGTTCCTGGCCCACCTCTCTAACCTCTCAGCAACCTTACCTCTAGCTAGCCACACACACACAGGTTAGCCTCTAGCTTACCTGCGCAGGCGCTCCATGTCGATGGGCCTCTTGATGGTAGAGTAGTAGTCAGGCAGCTCAGCGCGGGACGGAAGGCGCAGGAATATGGTAGAGATCCGTCGCCCCCTTCCGTCTGTGTAGTTCCTCACAGCGTCATACAGCTCGTTGAGGCGCTGCTGCAGCGGGGTCAGGTATTTATTGGACTTCTTAGGAGACGCGCCACTCTTTCCTACAGAGAGAGATGATGGTGAAAAACATGCATGTGAAAAGGACTCAGGTGTTGGGGACAAGTATACACAAACTCCCAAAATATTTCTGTGACAATTTCCATGTAAATGTTATCAAAACAGCAAGATACATATAGCCTTTACTTTCTTGGTATTTGTTTTATACATATTTCAGAAGTGCTGTTATACGCCCATAGAAAATAGTCCAACATACTTAGTTTGAGCTTAGGAGATCCTATGTTGTCTGTGCCCTCCTCAGGAGAAGCTCCTAGCTCCTTCCTCCTGTCCTTCACTATCTTCTCCAGGATGTCAGCGTCATCATAAACCTTCACAGCAAAACACTAACATGTCATTCAACCCTCCCTCCCGTGTGTTGTAAATCTAGCCCAGGGTGGTGTTCATTGGGGCATACCATAGCAAAACAAAATTCTGTTTCTTATTGGCCAAGTTCAGGTAGTACCTCCCCGTTTTACTTTGTCTTATGCCTACTGATCACGAGCCAGGAAGTGAACCCTCTGACATGGCCCTGTGAGTGATTGGCAGTGGTCCTACCTGAGATCCCTCCTCGTTGTAGTGCCGTGCGTTGCGGAACATCAGCCTCATGTCGTCCATAAGGGCCTCTTCGGTGGCATAGCGCTCTGAGCGGACGTTATGCTCGATGGTCTTAAGATCCATGGGCTCCAGAATCACCTGGTAGTAGGGAGGAGTTAGGTTCATAGATTAGTCGATCCACGGCATCCGTTTCCATACCAACATTAGGGAATCAAAAATAAAAATGTAAGTCATATTTTCCATTGCTGGACCAAGATCTGTGTTTAAAATAAACAAGATTCTGCTTTGATTTAAAATATGTGGCGCTTTTCTCCACTGCAATAGGATGTCTAGTACGCCTCACTATATTCTGTTAGGAACACGTTAATTTTTTTAGCAACCACCAACTAGAGGATTGTGAAAACCTGGTGTTGATTCATGCCTACCTTGTAGTAGTCTGGGTAGTCCTTCTTGGAGGGCTTCACCATGAAAAGATCACAGAGCCTCCGGTTGGTCCCTGCCTCTCTGGCTTCAGTCACTGCAGCATACAGTGCCTTCATACGGTTCTTCTTCACATTCTTCTTATGGCTGCATGGCAAGAGGCATGGGGTTAGTACATTTTTTGTTGTTGTGAAAACGAACCTGAATCTATGTTTTCCTGTACAATCCCAGTCCTTCCAGGTGGTGCTGAAATTCTTTTAGCGAATACAACCACTGACTTTTTCCTCATCAATTGGCACATGCACATTTGCGCTGAGTGTGCAAAGCTGTCATCAAGGCAAAGGGTGGCTATTTGAAAAATCTCAAATATATTTTGATTTGTTTAACACTTTTGTGGTTACTACATGATTCCATATGTGTTATTTGATAGTCTTGATGTCTTCACTATTATTCTACAATGTAGAAAATAGTAAAAATAAAGAAAAACCCTTGAATGAGTAGGTGTGATAAGCGTTTTCAGAATTTACATTTTTTAAGTACCAACTGATGGGGACTCAATGTTCTTGCTAGCAAATCGTGCGACCAGTTATCAAAACTCAACTCCGCCTCGATATAAGAGAACGGAGTTGGGCGTTCCTCAGCTAGTAGGCCACCTGTACGTTGTAAGTGTTGCAAGCCTGATTAGCTTGACAAAGGGTCAACGTATAAGCAGGAGGGCAGCAGTTGTAGATAGACACAAAGAAAGTGAGAGTGAAAGCTATAGGTGGTTGACTTAGATGCAATCGTTGACGTCTCACACCATCTAGATGTGGTAATGAAAGAAGGCGAGAGAGAAGTGGTCGTACCTTTTCTTCTTGGTAGCACTGCCAGTTCCTGTGTCAGAGGACAGAATGCTGTCCTGATCCTCTTCATCACCTCTCCTCAACAGCTCCCTCTTCTTCAGCTGCAAAACATTAATTACATACCACAGTCAACAATACTGTACTCACCATTCAGTCTTTCTTCTTTTAAACAAAGAAACCCTACCATAATGTACATTTCAATATCTTGTATTCCTATAGCTGCATTCCCAACTCACCACCAGAAAGAAATCCTACCAGTGTACTCTGAATTACCGTTTATTATATTCAGCTCTTATCCTAAACAATCAACAGTATAAAAAGCCAGATAAGGTCCAAGCCCCTACTGACCAGCAGGATCTGCTGCAGCCGCAGGGCCCGTTTGAAGATGGCCGAGTTGGGCACGTTGTAGCGCTTGGCGTTCTCAAACATCAGAGTGAGGTCAGAGTCCATCTGCTCCACGCTCTGGTACTCCCCGTTCTTCATCTTCTCCCTGGGACAGAGGACAAGGAAGTTCATCATTCACTGAACAGATGGGTTTTATGTATATCCAAAATAGCAACAGGGGCTAGGCAAAAAGAAGGTCCAAAGAGTTTTGCTGCTCGCAAAAAAAGATCCCATTTGGGAGCAGCAAAACAGCGAGCGGACATCATCTTTTCCTCCATTTCATCATTCACTGACGTTAGCTACAAGGAGAACAACTCTCCATGTACAGTGCCTATAGGACGATAGTAGCCTATTCATACCTGATCTGCTGGAGGGCGATGGGCTGTTTGATCTGCTGGTAGTAGTCAGGGTATTCTTTCCTGGAGGGCAGCTGGAGGAAGGGTTCAGAGAGGAGCTGTCCCTGGCTGTTCCTGCCCCCCCTCACAGCCTCGTACAGCTGGAACACTGGGTTACCCATGTCCATACTGGAGCTCAGGCACTCCGCCTCAGACTCACCCTCGTCATAACGCACAGAGCCTGGAACACATGATGGACAGAGGAGTCCACACAATTACAATCACACATATTTAACCCTACCGAAACAACGTAAAGCTATGAAGAGGGTTTGGTCTCAAAGTTGAAACAATTAAATTTCCATCCCCACCTATAACATTTTCCGTCTAGATAGAACTGCCAAAGGGGGTGGAGTTGCAATCTACTGTAGAGATAGCCTGCAGAGCTCTATCATCCTATCCAGGTCTGTGCCCAAACTGTTTGAGCTTCTACTTCTAAAAATCCACCTTTCCAGAAATCAGTCTCTCACTGTTGCCGCTTGCTACAGACCCCCCTCAGCCCCCAGCTGTGCCCTGGACACCATATGTGAATTGATTGCCCCCCATTTATCCTCAGAGTTCGTACTGCTTGGTGACCTAAATTGGGATATGCTTAACACCCCGGCCATCCTACAATCCAAACTAGATGCCCTCAATCTCACACAATTTATCAACGAACCTACCAGGTACAACCCTAAATCCGTAAAACATGGGTACCCTCATAGATATCATCCTGACTAACTTACCCTCTAAATACACCTCCGCTGTCTTCAACCAGGATCTCTGCGTCCGTAACGGGTACGCGGTCAAACGACCACCCCTCATCACTGACAAACGCTCCCTAAAACACTTTAGCGAGCAGGCCTTCCTAATTGACCTGGCCCAGGTATCCTGGATGGATATAGATCTCATTCCGTCAGTAGAGGATGCCTGGTTGTTCTTTAAAAGTAATTTCCTCTCAATCTTAAATAAACATGCCCCATTCAAAAAATACAGAACTAAGAACAGATATAGCCCCTGGTTCTCCTCAGACTAGACTGCCCTTGACCAGCACAAAAACATCCTGTGGCGTACTGCATTAGCATCAAATAGCCCCAGCGATATGCAACTTTTCAGGGAAGTTAGGAACCAATATACACAAGCAGTCAGGAAAGCAAAGGCTAACTTTTTCAAACAGAAATTTGCATCCTGTAGCACTAACTCCAAAAAGTTTTGGGACACTGTAAAGTCCATGGAGAATAAGAGCACTTCTTCCCAGCTGCCCACTGCACTAAGGCTAGGAAACACTATCACCACCGATAAATCTACAATAATCGAGAATTTCAACAAGCATTTTGCTACGGCTGGCCATGCTTTCCACCTGGCTACCACTACCCCGGCCACCAACTCTGCACCCTCCGCTGCAACTTGCCCATGCCCCCCCCCGCTTCTCCTTCACACAAATTCAGACAGCTGATGTTCTGAAAGAGCTGCAAAATCTGGACCCCTACAAATCAGCTGGGCTAGACAATCTGGACCCTTTCTTTCTAAAACTAGCCGCCGAAATTTTCGCAACCCCTATTACTAGCCTGTTCAAGCTCTCTTTCGTAACGTCTGAGATCCCCAGAGATTAGAAAGCTGCCGCGGTCATCCCCCTCTTCAAAGGGGGTGACACTCTAGATCCAAACTGTTACAGACCTATATCCATCCTGCCCTGCCTTTCGAAAGTATTTGAAAGCCAAGTAAACAAACAGATCACCGACCATTTCGAATCCCACCGTAGCTTCTCCGCTATGCAATCCGGTTTCCGAGCTGGTCATGGGTGCACTTCAGCCACGCTCAAGGTCCTAAACGATATTATAACCGCGATCGATAATAGACAGTACTGTGCAGCAGTCTTCATCGACCTGGCCAAGGCTTTCGACTCTGTCAACCACCGCATTCTTATTGGCAGACTAAATAGCCTTGGTTTCTCAAATGACAGCCTTGCCTGGTTCACCAACTACTTCTCAGATAGAGTTCAATGTGTCAAATCGGAGGGCCTGTTGTCTGGACCTATGGCAGTCTCTATGGGGGTGCCACAGGGTCCAATTCTTGGGCCGACTCTTTTCTCCGTGTATATCAATGATGTCGCTCTTGCTGCTGGTGACTCTCAGATCCACCTCTACGCAGACGACACCATTTTGTATACATCTGGCCCTTCATTGGACACTGTGTTAACAAACCTCCAAACGAGCTTCAATGCCATACAACACTCCTTCAGTAGCCTCCAACTTCTCTTAAACACTAGTAAAACTAAATGCATGCTCTTCAATCGAACGCTGCTGGCACCCGCCCACCCGACTAGAATCACTACTCTCGACGGATCTGACCTAGAGTATGTGGACAACTACAAATACCTAGGTGTCTGGTTAGACTGTAAACTCTCCTTCCAGACTCACATTAAGAATCTCCAATCCAAAGTTAAATCTAGAATCGGCTTCCTATTTCGCAACAAAGCCTCCTTCACACATGCTGCCAAACATGCCCTCGTAAAACTGACTATCCTACCGATCCTTGACTTCGGCGATGTCATTTACAAAATAGCCTCCAACACTCTACTCAGCAAATTTGATGTAGTCTATCACAGTGCCATCCGTTTTGTCTCCAAAGCCCCATACACTACCCACCACTGTGACCTGTATGCTCTTGTTGGCTGGTCCTCACTACATGTTCGTCGTCAAACCCACTGACTCCAGGCCATCTATAAATCACTGCTAGGCAAATCCCCGCCTTATCTTAGCTCATTGGTCACCATAGCAGCACCCACCCGTAGTCTGCGCTCCAGCAGGTATATCTCACTGGTCATCCCCAAAGCCAACACCTCCTTTGGCCGCCATTCCTTCCAGTTCTCTGCTGCCAATGACTGGAACGAATTGCAAAAATCTCTGAAGCTGGAGACTCTTATCTCCCTCACTAACTTTAAGCATCAGTTGTCAGAGCACCTTACCGATCACTGCACCTGTACACAGCCCATCTGAAATTAGCCCACCCAACTACCTCATCCCCATATTGTTATTTATTTTGCTCTTTTGCACCCCAGTATCTCTATTTGCACATAATCTCTTGCACATCTAGCATTCCAGTGTTAATACTACCTGTAATTATTTTGCACTATAGCCTATTTATTGCCTTACCTCCATAACTTGCTACATTTGCACACACTGTATATATATATTTTCTGTTGTATTTTTTGTGTGTGACTATGTTTTTTTTATGTAACTGTGTTGTTGTTTTTAATCGCACTGCTTTGCTTTATCTTGGCCAGGTCGCAGTTGTAAATGAGAACTTGTTCTCAACTGGCTTACCTGGTTAAATAAAGGTTAAATAAATAAATAAAATAAAAACTCTAGTTAGAGTGTGTGTTGTGTTGAGACCAACTCACCAGAGAGCAGGGCGTCCTCGTCACTCTCTGAGCCGTACTGCAGAGCCAGAGTGATGGCAGAGAGACGGTCTCCTTGGGCTGACCTCCGGTTCCTGATGCGGACACTGGTCTTAGTGGGCTCTGCATGGTCGATCTCTGTCTTTCTCTGGATGAAGACCTTCTTGATGGTGTTAGCATCCTTAACATCAAATTAGGGAAAGCATTGTGATTAGTGTGCTTTGTATAGCATCTACAGTACATTTTTTACATTTTAGTCATTTAGCAGACACTCTTATCCAGAGCGACTTACAGTTAGTGAGTGCATACATTTTCATACATTTGGAAAGTTGTAGACATGCAGTAAAACCTAGAGTACAACATAGCTCTACTGAAACTAGACTTTCTGCACAACTGTTCACAAGAACATATGATAAGAATAGGGAAAAGCTGTATAAATTATATTATATGCAGCATAAGAAGATAAATATACCTTAAAAACCTGAGATCCTGGTTCATTGTATGTTTTTGCATTTTTCGCCAGAAGGTCAACATCCTTGGCCATGGCGGTGACACTTTTGTAATATCCAATCTGACAAAGACAAATAATCAGTAGTATTCACAAAAGATCATGGTTAGGTTTCATAGTTATATCTTATATGATTACATAACTGATGGCAAGTAGGCCTATATTAATTTGTTTATGTATCAATACAATTAATAAATTAGATGTCAATCAATTCTACACAAATCACAATGCTTCAGGAGGTGAATAGGATACTTGTATTCTCTGAGCGATGGCTCTAAGATCAATGGGCTCCTTGATAACGGCATAGTAGTCTGGGTAGTGCATTTTGGAAGGCAGCTTCTGAAAGAGCTCACTGATGACCCGTCCTGAGGTGTCCGTGTATGACACCACAGCATCCAACAGCTGCTCCAAAACCTCCTTCAGGCAGCTCGGTGGGGTCTGCAGATCAGAGCATACAGGAACAATAAGCTCTGATCCCATGCACATCCAGTAACTATGGAACTTAAGTTGCAAGTGTTACAGAGCTTATAAAGAATGGTTAAACTTAGCTTGATAGTAGCAGTTGTAGACACAGAAAAAGTGAGAATGAACAGTATTAGGTGGTTGACTTGACACATGAGCTATTCAGCAAAAAAAAAAATCTATGATAGATACACATGCACAGCAGCAAGGAAATCGAAGATCTCATGGCGTATAGAAGTAAAACTGATTTGTCCAGATGATCTTTGAGCTTTACCTCGTCTTCAGTGGAGAGAGCAGGATTATCCAGCATGTCTTCACCATCGTCATCATCTTCATCACCATCCCCTGGCTGCACAAACTCATTCCTGATGTGGACATAGAGTTCCCACAGCCTGCAGGCCGCCTTGTACTCTTCACTCTCAGCCTGACAAGTCGGAGATAAAACCATGACAAACCTGCAGTGTCTAAAGGATGTTTTTCCTACTAATCAAAGTTTAACAATGCTTGTTGTTAGTCAAAGTGTAATGGCACAAAGTAGAGCACAATCAAGCCTTCAATAGATTTTCATTTAAGAGTTTCCACTCAACATAGTGTGTGTGTCACCTTATAGTAGTTCTTGGCGTTGTTGAACATGAGCTGGAAATCAGCAGTGAGCTGCTCCACATCTTGGTAGTCCTCTGACTTGAGCTTCTGCTGGATCTTGGTCATGTCTATGGGCTGGGACACCAGCTCATAGTATTCTGGCAGGTTCCTGAAGGAGGGAGAGGCAGATAGAAGTGACCTGGAGGCTTTTTCTCTACATTAAGTCTATGGTCGTTTGGCATCAAAATGGGTTGAAATGGGGAGGGACTACTTGGACATGTAAAAAAAAAGTAAGTTTTCCCGTTGTGAATGTTTTGTGACCCACCCATCTCTCGTCTGATGGTAGCTTACCTTCTCTTTGGTACCCTGATGAACAGCTCACAAAGCAGCCTCCCCTGGTCATCCTTGTGGTCCCTGACAGTGTTGTACAACTCATGGCACACAGCAATCTGTTTAACACAACACATTATCAAACAATGTGTGTCAAATCAGGTTACAGTACATATTCCACGTTTGGGATACTTGGATTCACTGCATCACGCGAATAAAACATGGCAAAGCTGCTCAAGTGTCAAACAAAAAGGATGCTAAGAATAACAAGCTTTATTGACGGCAGGTAGCTTAGTGGTTAAGAGCGTTGTGCTGGTAACCGAAAGGTCGCTGGTTCTAAGCCCCGAGCCGACTAGGTGAAAAATCTGTCGATGTGCCCTTGAGCAAGGCACTTAACACTAATTGCTCCTGTAAGCCGCTCTGGATAAGAGTGTCTGCTAAATGACTAAAATGTAAATTTAAGGGGTTAGTTAGCTAGTTTGGTCAGATCTCACTAATCATTTCATACATCAGCGCTAGAACTAAGAAAATCAACTCACAGGGTCTACTGTAGGAACATTAAAGGTTCTTCTTCTCTTTCGTCCGCTTCCAGGAGTGGAGGATGCATCGTCAAAGTCCCCTCCGCTCACACTACTGGAGGGAGATGTGGCCCTTCTCCTTTTCGAACTCATTGGCATAACTGATGGTACCTTCAAAACAACACACACCGTTAGCTTGCTGGCTAGGTAACTCTGCAACATACGGTATATAATGTTATTATATATTATAAACACGGACTAGCCCTGTAACCTTAAATTATGATGTCTGTTGAGACTGACTGACATTAACGCAAATATGACCATGTTCACTTTAAAGTTGTTAGCTAACTAACGTTAACTACTTAGCTTGCTATGTAGCCGCTAGTTATACGTTTATGCTCACGTTAGCTTGCTAGCTAGATATTTCAAATACGGGACACAGATCTTCGTATAATATTGGTTTATTTCGCTATCTAGCTAATACTTTATTTACCTTACCCATAACAAATATAGAGCAACAGTGGTAGTAGACCGTTAACGCGTAGCTAGCTAATTTAGCTAACTAGCTACTAACATGCTAACTACAAACAAAGGCGAGCGCCTAAAATGTTAACTACACGCTCAAACAGAAATTAGATAAAATAATTAGCATGCTAACAAGCTTGTTGTAATGTTAGCTACTTTGTTAAACTATTTAAAAGCAAACCAGGCTTACCTCAATTTTTGTATATTTCCCTGAGCAAAATAATGTGTTGTACTGTATAGCTAGCTAAAGTCAATTCATTCGAAACCTTAGCTAGTCAAGCTCCTCCCCATGATTGGCGGAAGTGACACTTTACAGCAGCGTTCGATTTGGAAAAAGTAGGGAATAGCAAAGATTCCTCTCTTAGGGCTGGGGTGAATTCCAAACCTACAACCTTATCCTAACCACCTGAATGGGTTACATTTGATTTAATGTAATAGATAAACTACTCCAATCTGAGGCATTGAAGAACTTGACTAAGTGAATTTGGGTACGTTGAGAATGTGCCTTGCAGGTAACCTAAATACATGTCTGTAGCTCAGTTGGTAGAGCATGGCGCTTGCAACGCCATGGTTGTGGGTTCGTTTCCCACGGGGGGCCAGTATGAAAAATGTATGCACTCACTAACTGTAAGTCGCTCTGGATAAGAGCGTCTGCTAAATGACTAAAAATGTAAAATGGATGGTAACTACCTCAATGCAGATTCGATTGAATTGACATGCAATATTAGGCTACAGAGCGTCTAAAATTCTCAGAATCAACATTATTTTGTTTTATCATTCTGAAATTAAATCTCACACGCAATTTCTATTGTATCTAATGAAATTGCACCCCCTCATCAATAGCCAGCCCAAATAGCTTATAATAACATCATCATGAAGTCTAATGCGGTATGTTAGGCCATTAGCTTTAGGCAATACAATCCATGTCAGGCGATAGAGTTAATTTAACCTAGGTCCAGATAGTCGGCTACCTTTTATTCAACGCTTTGGCTGATTTAGGGCTGTTTGATTTCCTGAGCTCTGAAGCCAATGCCCTTCTTGGCGTCAGGCTACTCGCCTGAACTGATCTAGTGCTGCGCACAGAGAGCCAAACCTGAAACCACACATTGAGAGGGAGAAGGGATTCTTGAGCTCCGTGCATTCAGGTAAGATTTTCATTGTATTTGGATGCATAAGAAAATGTAACCACATTTCAGTCATTCAGTTTTTTGGCCTCGGGTATAATATCGCAGTAGACTATTCTATAGCCTTCCTATCCAACCGGCGCATCTTCGATTTTGCAAAGGCTATGTCTTATACCGTAGCCTACAATTCATATCCAAGATGCTCTTATAGGCTCGCTAGACTAAACCGTTGAACGTTGAGAACATGCTTAGGCCTATGCACAGCGCACCCACACTCCTTTAAGTGCATATTGATGTGCGCTATACTTGTACTTGGATATATTAAAATATGTATGTATGATAACAGTGTAGATTACATTTTTGAGCAGTTCTGATTCATAATCTCACTGGTCAACCCGTCTGCTGTAGTACCGTTTTCATTAATAGCCTAATCGTGCCTAGAAAGACCAGAATGTTTCTCAATAAATTGAAAGTATACATATTGTAATCTAATCTATTCTATTCTATATCAGAACTCTTTTTTTCTTAATCTTGCTATTTTACATTTCAATTGTTGTCGTAGCCTGTTGGAATTTAAATAAAGCTAGAAGAACTATGAGGCTATGGAACAAGATGTTGCATCTTTCCCTTGTTATTGGAATTATTCTGCTATAGCCTATTCGGCCACTGGCTGTCCTTACTACTTACTATTCAAACATAGAGCAATAATGTCCAGGACTTCCACACATTTACTTGTGACTATGGATGCACTGCACTCATGCACTGTGCTACAAACTGGGACTTGGCCAACAGGGTACCAATGGTCATAATCGGAAATTGACAGGTTGGCTTGAAATACACTTGTTAGAGAGGTTGCGGTTGTACAACATATGTTAGGGTCCAGCTAAATCTCCCTTTCTCTGTAGTCCTAAACAAGTATACTATATACAGTGAGGGGAAAAAAGTATTTTATCCCTTGCTGATTTTATATGTTTGCCCACTGACAAAGAAATGATCAGTCTATAAGTTTAATAGTAGGTTTATTTGAACAGTGAGAGACAGAATAACAACAAAAAAATCCTGAAAAACGCACGTCAAAAATGTTATAAATTGATTTGCATTTTAATGAGGGAAATAAGTATTTGACCCCCTCTCAATCAGAAAGATTTCTGGCTCCCAGGTGTCTTTTATACAGGTAACGAGCTGATTAGGAGCACACTCTTAAAGGGAGTGCTCCTAATCTCAGCTTGTTACCTGTATAAAAGACACCTGTCCACAGAAGCAATCAATCAATCAGGTTCCAAACTCTCCACCATGGCCAAGCCCAAAGAGCTCTCCAAGGATGTCAGGGACAAGATTGTAGACCTACACAAGGCTGGAATGGGCTACAAGACCATCGCCAAGCAGCTTGGTGAGAAGGTGACGACAGTTGGTGCGATTATTTGCAAATGGAAGAAACACAAAAGAACTGTCAATCTCCCCCGGCCTGGGGCTCCATGCAAGATCTCACCTCGTGGAGTTGCAATTGTCATGAGAACGGTGAGGAATCAGCCCAGAACTACACGGGAGGATCTTGTCAATGATCTCAAGGCAGCTGGGACCATAGTCACCAAGAAAACAATTGGTAACACACTACGCCGTGAAGGACTGAAATCCTGCAGCGCCCGCAAGGTCCTCCTGCTCAAGAAAGCACATATACAGGGCCGTCTGAAGTTTGCCAATGAATATCTGAATGATTCAGAGAAGAACTGGGTGAAAGTGTTGTGGTCAGATGAGACCAAAATGGAGCTCTTTGGCATCAACTCAACTCGCCGTGTTTGGAGGAGGAGGAATGCTGCCTATGACCCCAAGAACACCATCCCCACTGTCAAACATGGAGATGGAAACATTATGCTTTGGGGACAGGACAACTTCACCGCATCAAAGGGACGATGGACGGGGCCATGTACCGTCAAATCTTGGGTGAGAACCTCCTTCCCTCAGCCAGGGCATTGAAAATGGGTCGTGGATGGGTATTCCAGCATGACAATGACCCAAAACACACGGCCAAGGCAACAAAGGAGTGGCTCAAGAAGAAGCACATTAAGGTCCTGGAGTGGCCTAGCCAGTCTCCAGACCTTAATCACATAGAAAATCTGTGGAGGGAGCTGAAGGTTCGAGTTGCCAAACGTCAGCCTCAAAACCTTTATGACTTGGAGAAGATCTACAAAGAGGAGTGTAACAAAATCCCTCCTGAGATGTGTGCAAACCTGGTGGCCAACTACAAGAAACATCTGACCTCTGTGATTGCCAACAAGGGTTTTGCCACCAAGTACTAAGTCATGTTTTGCAGAGGGGTCAAATACTTATTTCCCTCATTAAAATGCAAATACATTTATAACATTTTTGACATGGGTTTTTCTGGATTTTGTTGTTGTTATTCTGTCTCTCACTGTTCAAATAAACCTACCATTAAAATTATAGACTGATCATGTCTTTGTCAGTGGGCAAACGTACAAAATCAGCAGGGGATCAAATACTTTTTTCCCTCACTGTATATACAAAAGAATGTGGACACCCCTTCAAATTAGTGGATTCGGCTATTTCAGCCACACCCATTGCTGAAAGGTGTATAAAATCGAGCACACAGCCATGCATTCTCCATAGACAAACACTGGCAGCAGAATGGCCTTACTGAAGAGCTCATTGACTTTCGACATGGCACCGTCATAGAATGCCATCTTTCCAACAAGTCAGTTCGTTTAGGTTCTGCCTTGCTAGAGCTGCCCCGGTCAACTGTAAGTGCTGTTATTGTGAAGTGGAAACGTCTAGGAGCAACGGCTAAGCCGCGAAGTGGTAGGCTACACAAGCTCACAGAATGGGACCACCGAGTGCTGAAGTGCAAACAGAGTTCCAAACTGCCTCTGGAAGCAACGACAGCACAATAACTGTTAGTCGGGAGCTTCATGAAATGGGTTTCCATGGCCAAGCATTAGCACACAAGCCTAAGAT